TTAAAACCTGTTCCTAAAATAAGGAAAAGCGTCAGCGTCATATATTTGCATTTATAGGGGAAAGCCAATTCCTGTCTATTCCTTTTCTAATAGAAAAACTACTTCAAGCTACCAGGGTACTAACATTCAGGACTGTATTTAAACACTGTGCTACGCACACTGGAATGATAAGGCCCTTTTGTACAAGCTCTGCCCCTTATATTAAATTATGTTAGTAAACACAGCTACTAGAATGCACTATTTTTTCGGAAGCTTTGCAGAGAAACCTCTTAAAGTAGATGTAAGATGTAGATGTGTAAGCACAGTGTATAATCCATAACTGGTATTTTTTACCATTTTTATTATCACCTTTTTTTCAGCCTTTGTTGCATCTCACTGCTGCTGATCTCCTGCAGCCTCTTTTAGCCACTTCCTGTTTACATGCACTTATTCCAGTGTTGGCTGCACATGTTTCTTGAGACAGGCTTCCAGATAGTGATGGTGGCAGTAAATGCCTGCGTAACCCATACAGACAATGCCACTTATAGCCTTCACTAGAAGCGCATTTGACAGAGTGACAACACAGGAGAGCAATAGGAGACAGGTACAGAGAGTTGTCACCCAATAACAGGAAGTGCTTGAGCAATGACTTTCATAGCAGGATAACTATTTTAATAAAAGCTGGAGATTTAAAAAAAAATGTGAAAACCTAATTACATGTTAAAGCTTATATGAGAGTGGGTTTGCATATGCCTTAACTGTGTAGGCCATCAAGCAACCTGTCTACCTACAGTTTTCTTGCTGAACATAGCCACAAATGTCCAAAGGGAAGGGGGAGAGGCAATCAAAATATCCATGTTGTCCTAGGTATTGGCCAATGGGTGCTATTGTGCAATGAAAACCACCCTGCTAATATTTGTACATATCTGCCAACACTGATGTGCAAATTTAACATCTTGGGCTATAGCAAAGACAATGGTTATACTGATAGCTATGTATACATCTGGCATGAATATAGCAAAGACCAAAGTCATACATAGCAGGAGTATAGCAATGAATGGTTATGCCTGGCATGAATATAGCAAAGACAATGGTTATAGATGGCATGGGTATAGGTAAGGCAATTGTTATGCTTGGCATGAATAAAGCAAAGACAATGGTTATACCTGAAAAACGTATAGTAAAGACAATTGTTATACCTGGTATGAGTATAGCAAAGATCATGGTTATACCTGGCATGAGTAGTATAGCAAATGCAATAGTTATATATGTAATGAGTATAGCAAAGAGAATAGTTATACCTGGCATGAGTAGTATGGCGAAGACAATAGTTAAACCTGGCATTAGTAGTATAGCAAAGGCAATAGTTGTATCTGGCATGAGTATAGCAAAGACAGTGATTATATCTGGCATGAGTAGTATAGCAAAGGCAATAGTTATACCTGGCATCAGTATAGCAAAGAGAATAGTAATACCTGGCATGAGTAGTATAGCAAAGGCAATAGTTGTATCTGGCATGAGTATAGCAAAGACAGTGATTATACCTGGCATGAGTAGTATAGCAAAGGTAATAGTTATATCTGCCATGCGTATAGCATAGAGAATAGTTATACCTGGCATGAGTAGTATAGCAAAGGCAATAGTTATACCTGGCATGAGTAGTATAGCAAAGGCAATAGTTATACCTGGCATGAGTAGTATAGCAAAGGCAATAGTTATACCTGGCATGAGTATAGCAAAGGCAATAGTTATACCTGGCATGAGAATATGGGAACTATTAGTATACCATATACAGACACACGCACACACACTCATGTACATAGGTTGAACTGGATGGACATGCGTCTTTATATAACCCTACCTGCTGTGTTACTAATTTTCTATGTTACATCAATAATCATTCAAGGGAGTACCAATAAAAACAGCTGTACAGCATTCACACTAAAAGCAGAAACATAAATGAGGCAAGTAGGTATGCTTAGGATGTAAAAGAGGTTTTTACTGCGCCACAAAGAAAGGTAGGTTCCTCCAGATCCTTGTCTATATCCCAATAAAGTGTTCTTGTCTTTCCTGTCAGAGTTATAAAAACTCTTTGATTGGATCCTGTACAGCACAATCCATTGCAGTGTGTTATTAGAAAAGGCTTTACATGTCTTATGAATAAGACACAACAGCATAACTAGTTCTATAAATAATGGCCATATATAGGACAGCATGCACTGTAACCATCCTGTCTTCACAAGGTTAATTACCCTGTGTCTCTCTTTTCCTGCTCCCCTACCCTTCTCCCTAGCATTACCTTTTTATGTTCCCTCTTTAAAGCAGGTTCCAATCACCAGGTCCACGATGGGTAAAATAAATAAATAACTGTATGACGTGCCGAGCAGCAATAACCCCTAAAAGAGCACTATCAGTGGAACATGATTGATCAATTGAATTCCACAGCAGCAGAAAAATGTGGGATTAAGTAGTGTATTATACGCACAATGAGTTGAGGCATGATGTTCATTTCAAGTTCATTTCGCCGGCCCTCTGCCACCAGATCAGGCAATCAATAGGGCTAGCACATATCATATATCATCGCTCCCTGTGCAAGAGAGGGAGCACCATAATCTCTCGCAAATTTAGACTGACAGATTTGTCGAGATCTGAAAAGGCCCCCTGCATAAATAAAGCAGAGGAGGGAGGACAGCTCTGTGAGAGTAATCAAGGCACACACACACACACATATACAGGATCAGGCGTCTTTCTATTGGGTCATGGCTCTTTTAAAAGCTGATCTTTTACTTTTACATGTGTGTTAAAACTGATGTGTGTTAGCGGATGACTCTGCCTTTCCAAAGGGCACTTCTCTTTAACCCAAGTGTGTAGGATACCGATGCCATTTTCAGCACTTATATGGGACTTATTTAAAATTGATTTGGTCCGCACCAAACAGGCATTCTTGTATGGAGTATATTGCTTAATATAAGCCTGAATTTTGTGTTTGCTTTTTATGTGGGCTTGGAATAAGCGTAAGATGACCTATCGGGATTTGTTTTTTAGTGTTTTATAGGAACTGGCTTATACCTAGTGAGATCTTATAGCTTGCTTTCAGTCATAAAGACAAGTTGTCATCATTTTGTCATCATTTCCACCCAAAGGCACATCAAGTTATTACCAACATTTATTAATATACATCCATTTATACAAGGCAAAATGTAAAATGTCTTCCAATTTTCATTGAAATATTCTTTCCAAGTTTATATACTCGTATGTTACAAGCTATATCAGCTTTGCCTTGCATTAAAACCTTGAGTCACTGCCCCAGAAATAAGTATGTGTCTTGACAGCAAAGCGATTTGCATATCCGGACAGAGAAGACAGCAATGCACACTAACCTTTCCAAGGTTGCTATAAAACCCTAAAAGCGTAAAATGTTTATTTTCTATACTTTCCTTCTTGTTGCATATAATGTGCTCCGAAACTACAGGTGCACTTTAAATCAGAACTCCAGGCAAACAGCTCAGTTCTTTGCAATTGTATTAAGCTAATTGTGTGATCCAATCAACCCTGCCATGCAGCACAGCCAGGTCAGTGACCACACTTTTCTCCTCTCATGTTAAGCAATACAGCTTGGTCACCAACCTTCTCCCAAGGTGTGATCAAACAATGAAAAAGAAGTGTTTTTGTATGTCTGCCTGGAGATCAGCTTTAGGCAATACATCCATAAGTATCTAGGTATATGGAACCTTTTATTGAATCATGATATCAGAATATGTTAATAGACAATTAGATCAGAACAAGATATTACATAACAAAAAGGCTACATTATGATTTGTACTTCAATGGCTAAATATTTTATAATGGAATAAAAAAGTAAGGACCATTTCATCTAGCGTAAATGAACATGATGCTTTGTTACAGGGTCAGGCAAAATGCTGTGGACTTCCTCTGATCAATATCTGATATTTTACGTTAGCTTATGAAGGATACTGCTCCATGGTATATAATGTAATATTGATTATATCATATCCCACAATCACCTGCAAAGAATAAGATTTATCGGCCTTAATATAATCTTCAGCATTATTCCCAATGGAAAAAACTGGGAGAGGGCTAGCCCAGCAGATGAAATTTATACTGCAAAAGCTAATACTCTGCAAGACATATTCCCATATTGTGCAGGCATTGTATTCCAAGTTTGCAACAGACAACCGCACTAGGAAAAATCCTAGATCTGGCCTAGTAGCTTGACGTGCTTAATACAAGCAGTAGAAACTGCCTTATATAAAGATGGTAGGAAAGATTGCTTTTTGTATATCAAGCCACAGTTATATCAATATATCCTTGGGTAATAAACTGGATAAACCCAAGTAATAATAACATTCTCCACTATGTAGGCATATGGTAGAAAAACAATCTTTAAAAATCAACCCACCCAAAGCAGCTATCCTGATTTAGGATAGGGTTTGATCACTTGCTCAGACACTTGCATAATTAGCTTACAACTGTTCAAAATTTTCCAAAGAAAACCTTTCTAGATACACAATTTCTGTGCTTTGCACCCTCTAGTGACTTTTCCATAGAAATATATGGACGACTAACAGGCAGATGATACAAGCAGCTTAGCTGAAACGCTGTTTTTTTAGGCAGACACAGCAGTGCTAAAGAAGATTTTCTTACCAGGGTCCCAGAGGAAGTTTCATTCAACCCAAATAAGAATAATGAATGGAGTGGTTTTGATATCAGAAGGCAAATAGTCCAATTGTGCATTCAATCAATGAGGTGTATTAGGTGTATTTTTTAAATACTACTAGTATAGATGACTAAAATCCTTAAATTAATTTCCCATAATTCCTGCATAGCAGAACTCAAATGGCTGGACAGTGTTATAAATTTTAGTTAGATTTGGTAATATAGTGCACCTATGTATTTTAATTATGTACTTAGCTGTATGGCTTTGAAGTTACTTTTATATAGAATTGCTGTGCAATAGGATAAGACTTTCCTGACTGCGGTGCTCTTTTTTCTTCATACAGATGGATCTGATGGTTCCGGGCCAAATGGAGATTCTCAGAGTAGTGTGGAGAGCTTACGGAAACATTTACGTGCAGACAACTTTACCCAGCAACAGTTGGAAGCATTAGATCGAGTTTTTGAACGTCCATCCTATCCAGATGTGTTTCAAACTTCGGAACACATTAAATCTGAACAGGTAACTAGAAACAAAGAAGTGACATGGATGATTCCACAAATATATGCTTGGGTTTTTTAATAAATATTGGGCAAAAGGTATTGGTGCGCACTAAGCTATGGAAACTTAGCTGACAGAATGAGGAAAGCTGATTTTTGATTAGTTGCTCTGAGATATTGTTGTTTTCCTTTTATATGAAGACTTGGAGTTCCCAAAAATCAGCACCTTCAGCACCTGTACACAGAAACAGAATCTTTGGCAATGGAGAGGTGAGGAGGGCTTTTAATTATCAAACTGCCTTATCTTTGAATGGAACAATAGCAATTATAGTATATTTTTTTAACATTCTCAATAGATGTTCCCCCCAAAAGGTTTACTGGTAGGCATCTGCTTGCCTTCATAGATATAGATTGTTGCTGAATCTTCAACATAACTCCCAGCTGTGGAGCACATACAAACAGAAGAAAAGCTAACCATACACTGGATTCCGCAGGGATAGTTTATTGAATCTTGTACCACATCACTGGTGTCCCGCCCAAAGTCCACTCCAGTGATGAGGTACAGGTACAATCTTCAATAAACTATATAGCTGAATCTGGTATGCAGCTCGTATTGAAGCGAGGATGTGTTCCCAGTGGAAAGCACCAGATTCCTTTCCTGGGCTGTGGAGGAGCGGTGCTTTTTTTGTGTGTTCTCCTTCCAAGCTGTGGAGAGTCTACCTAGCAAGAGACAATTATCCTTCACATTTGTTTCACGTACTGATTTGTGCACAACAGATCCAACACACCAGTGATTCTTACCAGTAGAAACTCTTTTTCGGTTTATGCCTTCTTGTATTAGTCAGGGCCTGGTGTAAGCGGGACACTATGTGGTGGCAATACTCTGTGGCTCTGGAATCCTCTGATATGTTACTGAAATAGAAGTAACCATAAAAACTGCTCATAAGTATATTTGCTGTTTATCTCCCTCCACAACCACCCTGATCTTCAGTTTCATCCTAAAGGTTGTTTATCTTAATAGAACATGAAATGGGAAAAAACATCTTTAGAAAATGCCCCAAACTATAAAACATGAAATGAAGAGAAGCCCTGTCTGAGAGTAGATTTTTTTCTTCTCCCAGAGTCCCTGAGTTTATTACAATGGATAACCTTTATTTACTTTCATTAGACTATTAAACGCCAGCGCAGTCATTTTTTCCCCCTGAAACTTAAAGCAGGGGCCATAAAGCAAATCTAAAGCCTAATTGAGTTCATTTTAATTTCTCTCCGATCACAGCGAATTACTACGGTGATAAATCAGGGGGCAGCTTCACCCCCAGTAGAAGGCCTAATTTGCAGCTAATTACGAAACTGATTTCAACAGGAAGATCAATACGAAAAGGAATTGGAAATGACTAGGCTGTGGCGTCCAGACATAGAGGTGGGGGTGTGGATGGAGAAAACGGGGCTAGAAAGAGCAGAAAATCAGTTTTAATTTAATGTAATATTAATCAGACAGAGTTTTTTTTTTCTCCCTTTTTTGGGTCCCCCTGTTTATTATCCCACTGAAAAGACAGCTGTAGAGAGCAAGGTCTGCTCCCTGAGAAAACCATAATAAGAAGGCAATTACTAGATTGTTTTGGACAGAACACCCTTTCAAATTCAATGACTCCCCCTCCCACCCTTCTGTTGGCCATGTGCTCTGGCCCACTCCCCAATTTCATACCCCACTGCACAGGAAGAGGAGAAGAGACCAGGGTGATGGGGGAGTGGTCCTTCCTTTGTATTTAATGAAGCACATCATTCAAAAAAATCAAATGTTGGTGATTTAGGACGACAGGTGATTTTTTTTTTATATTTCCTATTTGTATCACCAAGCAAACCTGTAAGTTTGCACCTGCAACTGCTACAGAAGCCATACCCGATTTACCACTAGTTTTTCTAAAACTGATATTCATATAAAATACTTTTATCAAGTTACAGAACTCCACACTGATATCATTTATATGTTGTGTACTGAATCAGTTGAAGACTTCCAACTATGTTTAAATCCTTTGCTGAAGTCAGATGATACACATATTTCCATGTGCTAGGAACACTGGTCAACATTTGACATCTGATTAATCTTTATACTGTATATTTAATTTTTTTGCTTTGGACATTAAATGATTAGCAGTTGGTTAAGACCAAATTTCAGGGCTTCCTTCGCTATTGTGTGCCATGTAGAGGCTTTAAGAATAGGTATAAAAAGTTACAATGCATACATGAAAACGGTTCATTAGTTTTAGCTACTAGTGCGTGCTGTTATTATATCCTAAGATGTTCACCAAGTCTTACCTTATTCCTTCCTTACAACCAGGCAAATGAATACTCCCTTCCAGCACTAACTCCTGGCCTGGATGAAGTCAAATCTAGTTTATCAGCCTCTGGTAACGCAGACCTTGGTAGCAACGTGTCAGGACCTCAGACCTACCCAGTGGTAACAGGTAAGCTGAGTTTTATTTAAATACAACCTATCAGTTTTATGCTGCATATTTGGCAACATGTGAACCAGTGTGAATGTCACTGCTAGCTAAATGGGAATTCTACTCTAATAATTCTTTAAAAAAACTGGCAGCAACTATGATTAAACATGCAGACCCAGACACACTGGTGCACCATGTTGATTCTGTAAGCCTTCAATGGAAAATATACAGCCATGTTCAAAAAAGATGACAAAGTAGAGTTGAAATACTTCACTTTATAAGCTCCAGTAGTCAGCTAGGGCTCAAGCAATACACACCTCCTGCCAGGAAACAGATTAGCTGTGTACTTTGCAATAGCCAAATCAGCTGTCAATAATTTGGCACACTAAAAAGTAATGTTTCCCCTAAATTTTGATGTGACTTTCACATTTTCACTTGCTTGGTGGTCTATATTTTTAATATTGTATTAAATATAAAGATGTGTAAGTTAGCCACTAGAGGGAGGTTTTCATTGCAGTCACTGAGCCTCTTTGGCCAGCATGTAGGGAGTTCATGGTGTTTTGAGTCAGACCTGACCAAAAAAGATGAACAATAAGGCAAAAACACTGTGCAGCACTATGAAACAGAAAAAGTCTGTGAAATGGTCAAACAAGGATTATAAAACATTTAACCTGCACTATCACATGTATATCCAAAAAAATATAGTGAAAAAAACTTGGGTCCCTTTAAAGTTTACTTATCACACATTTACAGTATAAGTATCTATAGTGTAGACTGAACAGGTACTCCTTATTTCTTAGTTAATTCATAGGATTGCATTTTCTGAATAATTGGTCCAACTGATAAAATGCCCCTCTCTCTTTAAACTAGAAGAATGCAGTAGAAAAGCAAAATAGAAAAAAATGTTAACTGGTCCTGAAATGATCTGGTAAATATAGATACAAAGTTAAAATCTGACTAGCTTAGACTTCATGCAGTTCATTTGTAACAAATTGTTTGATTGCATCTAGCTGCATTTGCAATATACCTATATTTGTATATATTGTATTTAAACTTGCTTTCCCCTCATTTTTTTGGAATATGTTAAATGACTTATTTTTAGTGCGTCACTTTCAATACAATACTCAGTTTACAGTTGCAAGGAAATTACCACAATTCTACCTTCAGCTTATTTAGGCTTATTTTCGGCTTTACTCATCTTTTGGGTCTCAGAAATACATTTACTAATTTATTCCTCTGCCCCAACATCAGCTACTGCCCACTATCTGCTGGCAGCGCAGAGCCGTGCTTCAGCCAGGAAGGATTCGGACAATATTGTCAGGATCCACTTGACTGTCTGATTGACAGCTGACTCTGTCTCTCTAGAGCCAGGACTGGTCCTTCACCCCCCACCCCCTTGTCAGTCCCTGCAAAGAGTGCTGGATGAAAGGAGAGGGGAGGGGGAATCCCTTTGACCAATAGTCACTGCTCTATGCTGGGAGAAGACACCAAGAGCCGAGCAATCAGCGGTTACATGATCTCTCAGTCTTAGAACCAGTATGACGCAGCTCTGTTGCTGGCTCTGTTCTCCTTTAATTGTATCTACCCCACTGACATTTATAGTTTGAAGAACAATGATAGGATAATGATGTTGATTCAGAAGAAGCAGAGAATATTCACAATCAATCAAATGTTCTCTTAGCTTAGTAAAGATGGTGAAGCTATGTACTACGTAGTAACCACCTCCGAATGATTGCCAAGGCAACTTTATTTTCATGTATGTTTCAATGGATATCTCTGTTGCCCTAAACATGTGTCAAATTATCTAGCCGGTTAGATGTAGATATCTAAATGTGGTAAACAAAATCCTTAGACCTATTCCAATTTTATTGTCCTGTGTTAAACATAGTAAAGCCATCCTAAACAGAAGATATAAGCATGTCTCACTTTAAGTACAAATAAAAAAAAGAGGGTTTATTCCTTATTTTAGAGAAGTGGGTGAAGCCACACACAGAGCCAAGGGGCAAAAAAGAACGAGTTGTACAGCTTCATCTGCTGTCCCTAAATAAGGGGAGAAAACCCCTATTTGTGGGATTTGTGATAAGACATGTAAATACTTTTTGTTTTAGGAAGCCTTTTCTGAAGGAAATCATGGATTCTAACCAGTCTTACAGCAGCATCTCAAACTCTCAAAGGCTGGAATCTAAAGAAAGATCTACATTTAACATGAAAACAGTAAAGCCTGCTAATATGCAAATTAGTATATTTGTCTGCCTGCTGGTTATCTGTGTAGGTCAGAAAGAAAATCTTAGCAGCATAGATGTATGTTTGTGGTCAGATTATTTCAGTTTTGCCAGGATGGCACAAAATGTTTTTGATATTTCATTGCCATGTGTGTTTTTGAAGCTGACCTTTCCATCAAGGCAGGAAACAGGGTATTATTATGTGCTACAGTTCAGCAGTAGGTCATGATCCACTGATAAGAAGGGTAAGGTGAATTACCCAAGGTCATGATTCACTGTATATTTAAGCTGTGCCGCTTCCTTTCAAAAAGCAGATGTGCACTAGCAAGATGCTCTCTTTGCTATGTAAAGCCAAGGTAAATGAATGAAAAAAAAAAAAATTTGACTGAATCCACCTTTATATGCTATGAACTACCGTTGTCAGGGTGTTCTCTTATTTCCTCTCAATGTCATCAAGGTGCCTATGCCTGACCCATTCTCAGTCCAAGTGTGGGAAACTTTCATTGCAGGCTCAGCATGACACTCCCAGGTGGTACCTTAACACTAACATGTTCATCCGCATGCAGGATTTCAATCAGTGAATAGAAAAGCGTAGAAACACTCATTAGCACTCAGTGCTGTTTACCCACAGTAATGAAGGTAAACATTTTAAAGGACAGATTAAAGCTTAAGAAAGGAGAGGGGGGGGGGGATCTTATTTTGCTGCACTTAGGCTATGCTCCAGTTTTTGGAATAATGGTGTCATTAGGCAAAAAAGGTTGCAGATCATGCTTAATCTTAAAATGTTTTTCTTTTTTTTTACGAGTAATTAAATGCCTGGCGTTATTGATCATTGTTGATTTTATGTCCTTCTATTTGCATAATCTATTAAAGATGAATGATTCATGAAGTGATTATTATAGGGAAGGGACGTACAGGCGTCCCAGATAGTTTTGTCAAGGTGAGAGAGTTTTGTCAAGGTGAGAGATGTTTTCATTTTTTTCGCTATTAGTGGATAATCTAATTAACTATCCTGAACGCAAAGATACTATATGCTCGGACTAGAGGCTCTCGTTAAAGCCAATGCTGCCAATGCCTCTTTCACGTTTGCTGTTTTTTTTTTTTTGTGCTTTGCCTGCTCCAGAATAATTTTTCGAACTTCAATCGTTTTATTTGACAAAATAATTTAAAATGTGCAGATTCAATAAGAGCTGCCAGCATGAAATAACATAATAATATAATTTGGTAAATTCAACTGCCTTGTTAAAGAGCTCTTGGTGTCTTCTCTGTCCTGCAGAATCCATTTGTTATATTTCAAGGGAGAATCAATTGTACTGATGGAACCTACAGGATGACTACTTCAGCATTCTAGAGCAAGGCATTTATCACAGGCGGGTGGCAATGACTAAATCTGTATGGATGAATACAGAACAAGGGTCATTGACAGCACTTTCCAGTAATCTGAGAAGCTGTGTTGGTCAATCTCATGGTTTTATATTTAATCTTGTGGTTAAAGATTGCGGATATTGAGAATATGATCTGGTGTTACAAATCTGACTAGCACTGTGACACAGTTGGGAGACCAGGTACTGGCAGAAATGCACAGCAGCCAATCAGAGATCAACATTAAGCAACACAAAGAAGTTAGACTAATTAAAGCTAATTGGATGCTATGGCTAACTACATGTCAATGCTGTTTTCCCTAGATTATTAAATAATCATTATGCAGTAAACCATCAGATTATCCAATCACCTTTCATTAATTTACATCAACTACGACAATAAAAGATTAATGTAATCTGTTGCTAGGAGTTACTGCTCTTTCCCCTTTATCTTAATAAGCAGGCACAGGCTGTCGGTTCTGTCAGAACATGTTTATACAGTAGGAGATGAGAGTGTAATTCTTGGCTATTCTTCATTTTATAGTCAATAGATTTCTGTAGACAATTTGCCCATCAATCTATGTATCTATAAGTTTCCTTTTAAGATAAACTATTTGAAGGGTCACAGGCTAAGCCCCTAATAGAAAGGGCACACAAGATCTGGTTTGGTTTGAATAAGTTAGTCAAGCCTTTGATGGGTATACATCCATCACTGGTTAATAGGATATTCTGGACACCCTGGAAGAGCAGCACAAGGTCAAAGGTCTTATGCACATTTTACTATTGCAAAATCTTGAGTCATGAGTTACTTACTGACACTGCAACTCAAATTATGCTTTAATCCTCCCAATACAGACTCCTGCTTATTAATGCCTAACACTTTCCATAAATTGTAGTGCATAAACAATATCACTTAAAAATCCCCCAAAAAATCTCATGTTAACATAGTTTTCATTAAGTTTTTTATATAGAGTCCAGGGCTCCTTCTGTCAAAACATAAACATACCATTGAATAAATGCTTGTTGTTTCAGTTGTAAGGGTTTTGTATGAGTTAGGGACGCTAGTGATTCTGACGCTGTAGAAACTCACCAGTGCCAGGATCACTAAAAGATCACATACCTTCTCCTATGGCAATGTTCCCTTGCTGGCCTAACCAAAGAGACAGCTATTTAAGTTGCTACTGCCTCACTAGCAAGTGAGGTTCTGCAGCGTTTCAGCCAGTGAGGGTAGACGCCCATTAGAGAATGTGTCAGTTGCACCTTGGTTAGTCTGCTGCTGGTGATAGCTTGCCAGTGTGACATGGACCCTAGAATGCATGGCTGTGGTACATGATCAGTCACAGAGCGTAGAAAAGAGGAGAAATAACAAGGTGCCAAAAGGATTAGGGAATCATTTTTTACTTAATTTAAACCTTTTTTTCTTTTGTTTTATATCATTCCATTTACATTTATACATATATTTTTTTTCTCTTTCTGTGTTCCACCCTGTGTCTGTCTGTCCTCCGTCCATCCATTTCCTTCTTCCTCACAGAGAGTTTCTCCTCTCACCTTTATGTAAAGCAAGAGCCTCATGAAGCTTCCCTTACTCCCTTCACTCCCTCTTCACTGGCCAGCTCGGGGCTGGCTGATCTTCAGCCTTTTCAGATGGCCCTCACGGTTGATGCGTCCACACCTGCGTACAGCTCCTTCACCCACCATGGCCCTCCCTACGGGCAGTTCGGCAGCCAGCCACTCATAGCAGGTACCAAACTTACCCTCATGCATAAATCAACTGCATACTCAAATAACAAGTTTTTATGATTCATGGAAAATAGCTTGCCAAAGAGGCCCAGTTACTTAATAATCATATCTGCTCATTAACGATCACAGCTCAAATTCCTTGTTTACATAAGGACCAACAGAACCCTATCTTGTCTTACAATATGCGTTGTCTTAAAAGACAATAACATTTCCCCTTAGCGGTTGGTTGGCGTGAGTGGTAGAGGGATACCTTTCCTAGGCTGTTGAAACATTTTTTTGATTTTGGCCATTTATGTAGGAACCTCCAAATATCTGTAAAGAAACTGCCCATAATATAATTTTAAAGCCTAGAGTTAGACTTTTCCCCTTTAGTTTTAAGTTTTTAAAAGAATAGAGTTAGGATGTGATGATCATCTGTACATACAGAGAATAATCTCCTTACCCACAGTGCTACCGTGACAGCCAATCTTTGGAGTGCTTTATCGGCATCCACTACAAATTTAGTAAGGTTCCTGTGACATCATAATGCTGGTATTCACCAGCTTCCTCGTTAGTTCTCTCAGCAAAATACTGAGAATGTAATCCAGAGAGGGGGACCACAAGGTTTATGTTACAGCAGAACTCTGGGTGCCTAATATCTCCTAGTTGGTACCACATGAAGCAATTACGACCTGGATGGGGATCAAACTCTGCCTCAATTCACCCCAACGTAAGGGGTAGAGATTCATTTTAACGCTTGAAATTGGAGGTATTCTATTTTCTTTATATCCACATGGCTTAGAATTTAGATCCCATAATACGCTTGTGACACAATGTGCCAAATAATGTTGTTAAGGGAACTGAATCCATTTTACTTAATCTGACTTATTTAAACACTCTCTGTTCATATCCAACCTTTGCTGGTCTGATCAACTATGTTGCAAAAATTAAAAGAACAAGGAGGGCTGAGAAAGGTTGCACTAGCAGGGGTGTAATAGTAATTAGAATCAAGTCTGTGCACCATGTAAAATACTAAAATCAGCATGTTCCTCTTATGTTCTTTCAGTAACAGTTAATAGAAGTATCCTACATTTCTTTTGGACTGTATTAAAAGTCCTTGTGATTTTGCATATATAAAAGGTGATCTCTTAATTGCAAGTTTCATATATGATTCAGCAGACATATTGGCAAATGGGGATTCAAACACTTGATCTGGCCAATAGTCTTTAAATTCAGCCTTTTAAAACATATACTGTATATGTCAGGACACAGAAAGTTACAATTTAAAGTGACATTTGTCTCAAAATATAGTTATGAAAAACACACATTATGGTGTGGAATATTTGTGCAATCAAATATGGATCTCTATGCAGTGATATATACAGTATAACACATCCTAAACTAATGTTAAAAGAAATCTATCAAATCAGGACTTTTAATTCACATCCTTGGATTTTGTCCACTGTGCTGTCACATGTCTAGACCCAGCAGCTACCTGCTCGGCACTGGGCAGGAGTACAATGAGAAAAAGCACATACTAAGTACTTTTGGGTGATTGATCCTGTACTACCTATAGTTTGTGTAGCAAAAAGACTTTGGATGTGATATGCATATTTTGAGGTCATCCAAAGAAAGCATGGAGCCTTGGGGTTTGACCATTTATTTACTTATAATAGGCTGATGGAGCAGATGTGATGTATGTGTGAATGAGACAAAGCAAGACTGGAAGAGTATTCAATGTGTGTAAAAGGTGCTCTTCCATACTAGTAACGTGACATAAAAGAGATGAACAGGACAGATCTGAAAGTATCCTTGTTAAAGGGGAACTCTAATGTATTTAAGCAAGTATACATTTTTAATTATGTATTGTTGCAACCTTCACTTGAAAGTAATGTTTCCCTTCTCTTTTAAATTTCACATATAAAAATTGTAGTTCCTACATTTAGTGGTCATCTTTATAATAGGAAATACGGTTAACAACCATGCTTATGGTATTTTAAAGATTTAAAAGTAATGTTGCCAAAGAGTGGGGTAAACCCTTTTCTCTGTATTTCTCTAAGGCCCAGTTCACATTGAGCGGTTCGCAAATCGCGCGTTTGTCGCCCGATTTGCATTTTGCGCGATATCGCGCGATTTGTCGAACGATATCGCGCAAATGCTTGCATTGAGCAAGCGAGAATCGTGGCAAAATCCACTCCAAAAAGGGTCCTGCTGTAGCGACACACGACCCGCGACAGCAGGATCCTTTGCCCCATTGAGATGCATTGAAGAGCGATATCGCGCGGTAAATAGCCGCGATATCACTGGAATTACCGCGCAATAAATCGCTCAATGTGAACGGGGCCTTAAACTAGTTTCTCTTTGCTACTAGGAACCTGACTTTTGTTACTATAGGGCTAAGTCCTACCACTGCCATCTTCTGTCAAATAAGATAAGTCAATTGACCAGTAAGGGCTGCCACATTGAAAAAAAGGAATGGCAGTTGGTGGGGCTTAGTCCCCTGGAAATCAGGACCATGTTTTCCTTTAACATATTTAGAATATTTTTTCAAAACAAGATTTTATTTTACAGGAATTAATCATACATACAGTATGTTTGTTCAATGTAAACAGCCATTTTTCATACCAATAGTAAAAAAGTATTTCTTTACTTTTAGGTCGAGACATGACAAGTACAACCCTTCCTGGTTACCCTCCTCATGTTCCTCCTACAGGACAAGGCAGCTACCCAACCTCAACCCTTGCTGGAATGGTACCTGGTGAGTTATTGTTTTATTTTAGAGGATATGTTATTTATAAATTTCAGTCTTATTCTCAGAAGTGACATATACATCAGTATTAGTACATAGTAGCTATATCACCATTCACAAATGCAGGGAACACACTATAATGTGGTGCATAGATACAGGTGGTTATACTTTTATGTACTTATTCAAAATGATAGTTTGGAGGACAGTATGAATAAGGATTTAGATCACACTAGGAAGTTATCTAAACCAACCAATTAACTCAGTCTGGAGTATGAAAATGACTGCGAAGACCTAAGTGGTTGCTATAGGCAGCATTTGCATTATTGTGTTATGAACTGTGTGTAATAAAACTAGAATATGTACAGTACTGTATATATCCTCAGTATGTAAAGTGATAGCACTAACAATTTTATATACTGTAGCTTTTTAGATATATTTTTGATCAGAGGGCAGAATTCAGTGATCCTTTATCTAAAAGGAACTGTTTGGCAGAAGAGATACAAGAGATACCAAAGAGAAGTTTTACTAATAGCAGTCAGATACCTTCACTTAGTACAGACTCTTCCATTTACCTACATATCACTAGTTAGATAAGCTTAGAGTCTGACCACACACAGTATGCAGCACTCCACAGGTTACTGGCAGGAAAGAGGCATCTCATTATCACTGCATTGACAGGCACCAACGTTTCGGTCCATCATTCGGTCCAGTCTGTGGAGTGCTGCTCATGTCTGTCCAGCTCTAAGCCTTGTCTGTTTCACTGCAGGACTGGGAGTGGTGAGTCTAGCACATAGTGCATATCTATCTGTTGTGTTTTCTGTCTTCAAATATCCTAATTCTAATGCTTTGTGCTACTGTATGGGGAAAATAAGCTTACCTTCACTTACTAATGCTTTTTTTCAGGAATGAGAGTGAACTTATAACATGTTATTCTGTGATGTCTAACTGTATAGTTTTCTATGATGTCTACCTGTATAGTTTTCTGCATGGATATGAGCCTTCAAACTACGTACTTTGCATATTCACTATATATGGGACTCTTATAAGAACTGAGGGTATCATGCAGAAGGCAGTGTTGTGAGTTAGCGGCATCCAGTCAGATATGCTTTTATTTTCAACAAAATCTGACATTTTTATTATCTAAGGAAATATAAGAGTAGATCATTTCCAACACAGGCTCTCTGTCCCACCAATTAGAGATCCTCTTTAGAATAGCTTGTATATCTATGGGACTTTTGTTTTCTCATCTGCTCTTATTCTTTAAAGTGCAACTGTGCTTTACAAAGCAACAGGTTCACCCAACTGCTGCCCTACCTCCCTAACTTCACATTTTCAACTTCCTTTCACCCCCCACCACGACTTTCTTCATCTGTAAACAAATAGTTGAAGCCTAGCGTAAGACCTCATTGAAACTTCAAATCATCTCAGTGCTAAGGACTCCCTGCTCACCGTCTCTATGTGACTGCACTGGGTGCCTAAGCAGCCAATAACTAAACACCTATTTGCATAGGAGGAAGGGGAGTGAGTCACATGCTCCCCCAAACCCGGAGGAGAAGCAAGACAAGGGGGGGGATTTGAAGCCAGGCAGGGCAGCAGTTAAGTGAACCCTGTTACTTTGTTCACATTGTGCAAAGTAAAGTTCCACTTCCAGTGTTCTTGGCAATACTCATTAGGATTAGAGACCTCCAAACGCGGAAGGAATTTGAGGCCATCTGCCTAATCAGTAATCAGCTGTGGACTGGGGTGGGATGCTTGTGCTGCCATTATTGACAATTTATTTGGCAACATTTGATATCACAGCATCCCAACTCTTTGCTCACATGCAGCTGCTGGTGGGGAATTTCCTGCACATAGCTGATTGGGCGGCAGCAAAAGGAGCTTCCTTCTGGGCTCAGCAGAGCTCAGGTTTAAACTAAACCTGGTCTGAGTCTGAGCTTATCCTTATTTGGGATTTCTTGTTCCAGAGTATAGGAACAGACAGTCTTGTTATTTTACTTCATTTGATACTTTGCGAAGGCAAAAAAACACATGTAGCAATTTCATGGTATTAGCTTATTATTGAATATCATTATCATTTCACCCATAAAGCGTTCTCAGTTCAGAATATAAATGCAGGGCTATATGAAACTATAGAATAATGTAAAAAGACTACTATATGGTACTGCTGAAAGAGAGATCACTGGTTTTATACACATGGCATGCAAATTATAGCATTGCATTTCTATATACTGTAGCTTACTCTGATATAAAATAGTTAAAGCCTTTGAAAGATACAGTGTTTTATTCCAGTGGAGGAAGGTTGTTTTGCTGGGCACAGCTCAGGTAATGCATTAATACCCCTGTTTATTTATTCCCAGATATATAACACAAGTAAGACTGAATGCTCCATTAAATGACATTGCATAAAGATGTAGAACAGGCCCATATTTTTCATCCCTTACACTCTACTCCCTAATATACAAGGGTATTCTCGAGAGACATTATTGTAGAACTTAGAGTAAAGGGAATCCCAATTGGTGCAGTGAACTGCTGGAAAGGCCTTGCGGCCCGGTGAGCAGATAGGGGAGTATGGAAATAAAATTCAATGCTGATGAGGAAATTACACTTGTTTCATTAGTGATCAGGGAAGGAGATAGCTCAGTTCCTCTTGGTCACAGTTGAGCTCAAAAGCTCATTATCCTCCTGTATGCATGCTTTCACTTCTCATCAATAAACACTTCCAGTGTCCGATGTCAGCTCCCCCACCTCTGCACACACCTATAAACACATGTAGTGCTGTGCACATTTCCCTGTGTCTGATATAGTACCAATAGCTAACTCATCATTGCATCATATTCAATAGCTGCCAGAAGGATTTGTAAAATCTCTGTTATGCATGCTCTTGTTATCCCATTCTAAAATCTAAAGGCAAGTTTTAAAAATGGCTGGTTTAAGATGGAAATATTCCATACAATATTCAGCCCTATTTCTTCCATTGCATCTTCTTGGTAAACTTTTATTATTTAGTTACTAGTTAACCAAATGTTAAAACAATTATTTTACTTTGAGGATTCAATTTACAGGTAAACCTTAATTATAGCATTGTCTTCTATAGAATACGGTTTGAAAATAATTAGAAATAGTAATAGAAATCGTGCATTAGTATATGTATGCAAAAAAGAGAAGCTTATCAGAAAGGGGATATTTAAGATACCATTATAACACAGTTTAATCCTGGTAACTCTGAAGGCCACTGCACCAAATTGACTCGTAATTTAAAACAAGCTGTAATCAGATAAGGAACATATGCTAATACAATGTGAACTCTCCCAAATTCCATCAAAGTGCAGGAAAGTCCATATGTGTTAGCTGTGAAAGCTTTTTAATTCTTATAGCTTTAGTTTTATTGTTACAGCAGCATCTTTAGTCATATTAGAATAACCCTACCAGATAACCAACTGCTATAGTTCAGGTGTTTAATAGAGCAGAGGTGGGAAATTGACTATATATTGTATATTATTCAGTTATAAATACACTGTTTTGCAGAGACCACAATTATAAGTAAATTGCATCCATTTTTTGACACCATTTACATTTTCTGCTATTGGACAAAAATTATTTCTTATTTTGTTTTGTTTATTTCTATGAGGTCTAGTCCATAAAATGTCTACCTTCACTGTGTGTGGCACAAAGATTTGCCTATTAAAATGTAATAAAGACAGCATAGATTAATAATCTATCATTTTTTGTATATTGACTTTCTAGGAAGTGAATTTTCAGGAAATCCCTACAGTCACCCACAGTATACAACATACAATGAAGCATGGAGGTTCAGCAACCCAGCATTACTAAGTGAGTAACTACTTCACTTATAGGAAATAAAGCCAATGACCTAATAAACCTGACTGGCCACTGAAGGGTAAAACAACGTTAGCTAAGATACTAGGGACTCTCAATGACCTTTGAGAAGTGCACTTGTGTTTTTTAAACTCAACCATAAGAATGTGAAATGTGGTATTTTTACTGGTTTGCAAAGGGGTCAACCACTCTAAAAAATACAAAACTATCATGCAAAATACATGCAAAATACATCCAACTGGGTTGTTTTGATTGATAAAGATGATTGACTGTGCACAATTTATAGCCCATACACTTAGATAGTGCAAAGACAACCTAGTGGATATTTAGCTTATTTAGAAGCAATGCCCCTAGTGCCTCTACAAATTAGAACACAGCATGCAAAGCTATACTGTCCAACTTTAAAAGATCCACCTCTGCAAACTACCCTGACAATCTTCTCTTGCAGCTCACAGTGTTGCCCTGGCGATTGTGCTAATAGATTCCCAATTAGAGTGAATAGTTCTGACTCACATGTTTGATAGACTGAGTCATTGTGAGTGGCAAAGAGAAGATCAAAGCAGAAGATCACAGAGGCTTATCACTTTCTACCCAAAAACTAAACAACTAGCTTTGAATTGTAACTTATTTAAAACAGAAAGCATTGTGTCTTGTATCAAGTTTATTTGTTCTGTCACATTTTTAAGTGTTTTTGTTCACTCGTTGTCCTTCCAACCAGTACATTCTTCTCCTGTGTTAACTTTCAGGTTCCCCTTATTATTATAGTGCCACATCCAGGGGCTCCGCACCTCCCACTGCTGCCACTGCCTATGACCGCCACTAGTTACCATGGAAACCACATGAAACTGCAGTGCGAGAACTTAGGCCTCCATTATGTACCTGTGTGAGCATCATCATGTTGGGAAGAAGAGCTTCTTAAACTGTGCCTCCTGCCATTACTCTGCTACAGCTACTGACTCTGTTCAGCTCCACTGTGCTGAACTGTTCTCCACCACAAAGTCGTATCATGACTTTTTCAGTAGCTAAACAAACACCCAGCAAACAAGTCTGACACTGGAGCCCTTTTGCTGCAAATGAGAGGCCCAAACGTTCATTTATATTGCGGATCTTGGGACCTTAGGACAGCAAAGTCTTGGAAATATATGACAGTGTTATTGATTTCAAAACAACAGTACGAATGAAGACATTTTTTAAGACTCCAAAATAAAATGTATTCCAAAAAGGGAGAGATCTCTAAACAGCAAAAAAAACAAAAACAAACTACGGAGAAGACAAACCATTTTCCCTCAAAATCCATTCCACCGGGTAAAGTTTCTGGACAGAAGAGTTCTGAAAAATCCCTTTTGAAACAATAAGCAATTGGAAGACTGCAGGAGTTAGAAAAAAATTCTTCCTCAAAAACAACTATTGGGAGTATCAGAACTAGCCATCTAAACATCCTCCTGCCTTGGACAGGATGCCTGCCTCGTATACTCCATCAGTTGTGCTGGCATTCCCAATACCCCACGTGGATCTGAATCCTGTGAAAAACAATCAACTCAGAGAAGACAGGAGGACATTTTGAAGTCAAATGACTGAACATTAAAAAGAAATATAAAATATATGAATATATAAATATATATATAAAATACACTGTTTTTATGCTTTATCATGAAGGTCTGTAAAAAGTTACAATAGACAATTTTCTATAAAAACAAAAACAACAAAAAAAACCAGTGCTGAAAATGGAAGAGATTGTCATAGGACTACATGAAGAAGGCAGTTCTTGATATATTGTTCCTCCTTCTAGCTTTTTTTTTTTGTTTTGTTTTGCACTAGTGTGTCATAGTCCGATACTGGGGGCTTTGTTATGCCCCTGTATAAAAATCATTGTGAATATTTCACACTCTAGGAAAAAAAATAAAAAATACAGGCATTTTGTAAATTCAGTAGTTTTATGCAGATTAAAATGGCACTTAAGACCCAGATTTCAGGTTTACAGACAGTTCACATTGACAATGATTTTAAAACATAATATTTATTATCCCAACCTCTAGCAGCTGTACACGATATTACCCCTTCCCTTTTCCCCCGTATCTATACAGAACTTCCAAACATTAATAAGTCTCATGTATCATGAGCCAGTAATCAGGACTGGATTTACATAATTGAATCATGTAGGGACCTTAAGTAGATTCAGTGATTGTAGGTAAGGTGAGCAATCTGCTACAGGTAGGAAGTGCAGGCACCTGGAGGCTCATCCCAATGACTCATAGCAATGCACAATAGGTAGAAAGGGGCAGGAAAGCTTCAGCTATCAGTAAGTTACGAAATGGCCGTGCCAGGAAGGTTTGGGAGGCTGCTGTAGATATGCGCATGCACATCTAGGCGTATGTATTTTATACCTGTAGCAGTTTGTCCCCCTACCCACCCAGTAACAGAGTTTCTGTAAGCACTACCTAAGTGTCTAACTTTGTCTATATTAGTTAGTCTTTTAACATGCTGTTATACTTCCTAGTAAAGGTTGATGTTATTTATGATGGTCCTTACTGAAGAAAAAGTTTTAGACTATAAACCCTAAAACTCAGGCTTACATGGTCAAAAGTGAAATTCAGCCCTGGTAGCAATGGTGCACTGTAATATACAGCAACACTTACTCTTCAACACAGCTGACATACAATTTGCTGTTATGGGTAGCACCATAGGTACACGAGAAAATAAATAATCTATTCTACCAAATAACCCAATTATTATTTTACACTGGGGAGAATGCAATATTGTGAGTCAGCCTACCATCCTGTGGTCAAGCTAATGTGGCGCTGCCACAATCAAAGCCTGCTAGAGAACTTTGCCCCATTAAACTTATTATTAGTTACTAGTGTTAGCAAATCTCTTTTTGTTATAAGAAACCATGAATCTGTTCTGTGTGGAATTCTGCATGATCCAAACGATGTATGAGATTATCTGCTATGTGTAAAAGCCAGAGATCATGTATAAATCTATGGGAACTCCTGATATTTGCATATGAGTGTAACTAAAAACAGGGTGACATCTTCCAAGTCTTCAGATTAATGCAATTGAATGTGCACACAATCCCCTGTATCTGCCTTTAACATATAAAGACCTAACAAGTAGGCAGAGCAATGCAATTGTCAATAAAACTGTGCTTGATACTATTTTAGCATCTTGCTGCCAGTTTGTGGGTCATATAGGTTTTCTACAGGCTCAGCTAACTGTAGTCTGCTTCAAAGACGAAGATCAGAAGCAAAATTGTGTTTCATATTTCCCTAAATCCAATTTTATGAACAAAGGTCTGGGGGGAAAAATCCAATTGCCTTTGAAAATCTCTCTCAAAGTTTAACTCTCATAACAAATGCTATACAATTCCAGGTAAGTGTGCAATATTTTTTTATTCATCAAAGAAACCATGGGACATTTGATACTCGCTCTGTATTAGGGTTTAAATATTGACCAATACCCGAACTGAAGGACTAGAGACTTTTAATTTGACAAGCAAACGTTTACTTATTTAGTGAAATACTTCAAGCACATGTTCACCAAAAACGTTTTAGTTTTAGGTGGTGTGAAGAAGGGTTAGAATCCTTGTGAGGTTTTTATTGCTATCTGGGGCTTCTTTAGAGAGATTTCTCCTACTTCCCGTCCTGTTCAAAACATTTAATCTGACAGGACGTGAGGGGAATACTCCAACAGCAACACAGACAGAAGTAAAAATGCTTTTTTTGTAGTAAAGTAAGGGAAAACTAGAACCCTTGCAAGATTTTTATTTCTGTCTCTGTCCCTGTTTTTGCTTTTCTGTTAGCAGGGCAGGAGGTGAAGGTAAATCTCTCTCATGGAGCCCCAAATAGCAGTAAATATCCAACAAGTGTTCAGATCCTCCAGTAGGGAAGAGCCTTGGGGGTCATGCTAAAAAAATATGAAACAAAATTTGGACTTTTAAAGTCAGGACTCTGAGATTAAAAGTCAGAATTCTGTGTTTAAAAGTCAGAATTCTGAGTTTGAAAGTCAGAATTCTGAGTTTCAAACTCTGACTATTAATCTCGGAATTCTGACTTTCAAAGTCAGAATTCTGACTTATAAACACAGAATTCTGACTTTTAATCTCAGAGTCAGAATTTAAAAGTCACAATTTTGTTTCATATATTTTTTAGCATGGCCACAAGGCCCTTCTGTACTTCTCCACCAGTTTTTAAATTAACATACACTTTTAAGTAAATTTGTGGATGACTTAGTGAATCTAAAAGAGGATTCTTTCAATCTGATTGGTGGTTAAAATGCAATTGACGTAAAAAAAAAACATATGCCTCAGCATATCCACACACACAGAATTGATGAAACATATAAAAAGCACTAATCTCAGTTGACTGGAATATAGTTATGAGAATTTGGATGTAAACAACATTTGCAAAGAGGACCTAAAATAGTCTGCCTAACTTCTATTCATTGGGTCATAAAGTTTGTAGTATGGCACAAATGATTTCCCAAGGGCCATTTATTTATGCTCATGTTTGCCACATCTCTTCATACATGTGAAAATAACTGTCGAGTTGACTTTCTTAAAGTGTGTAGTAGAAAATTAATGACAATAATAATCTGCGCTGTGTGGAGTATATAACTAGTAATGGAAGTAAAAGAAGTATACATTAATAATCATTTGGAAAGCTGGCCCAGGAGAGCAGAGCAGTTGTAATGACATACCTGAAGCTGGGATTTAGGGCTACATTAATGTCATTTGTTTAGTACTTAACCTGTCATTGGCCAGTCTCAACATAGAAGATCCTCAAAGATGATTTATTTGTCAAAAGGTATACCATATTCAAAGCATTACCTATAAATATCCCTTATTACTATTTAAAAATGATTGCTGTTTATTAATTCTTTACTGACCCTCTGATTACATGAGACATAGACTAGGATTGAGACATTTGATGAACTCTGTCTACAAATGACAGACTACGGAAGGCATGATGTGACAACCTATTGAGGGCCAGAAGTTATGTGCAGATGTCTAAATGTACACAGCAACCAGACAAACAATTTAATTCCCAAACATGTAGAAGGCAACCAACAAATGTATTATTGAGGAGTCCATTTAAAAATCAGTGGTATGGCATTAGTGCTTCTTTGCAGCTGCTTTATTAAAAAAAACACTGACACATTTATAAAGCACGGCAGGGTGCTTTACAAATGTGCAGTTTGCTTGTTTCAGGGGCAGGTAGAAGGACAATACAATCACATGACGCACCAAAGTCATGTGACGGGAGTTCCCTGTGTAGCAATATGCAGAGAGAACTCTGAGGGACATCACAGACTATACAGTGTGGCCTGCATTTTATGAATAATAGAAAAATGTCACCAGCACACCATAAGTTGAAAAAGCAAAATATTTTATTGCCAATAGCTGTATCTCATTGGCATTTTATGGTGCACAAAATGCAGGTGCAGTGTAGAGTGGACCAGAAGCCAGTGGATAGTGCTAATCTCATTAAAGACGTGAGCAAGACTTTAATGACAATTTTTTTATACAAGAGATTACTAAACAAAAAATAACAGGCATTGTTGATGATTGTGTTTTAACCCACAATATAGCAATAAGCACCATATACAGATTTATACAGGCAGTCCCATGGTTTCTTTGATGACCAGAGTTTTCTTGTTTAAGTATCTTTTATAATGCTCCCTCCCAATTAACCTAAATTAAAATATTAAGAAACAGTTTTATTAGAGGATGAATTTTGACATATGTTGACACAAATACTGATATAATGCCAGAAATCAAACAAAATAGAAAAAAAACTCAAATATTAGGTCAAAATGAAGTTCTGTCAGCTTGCAAAGACTTCAGATCACTATTTGTGTACTGCTTAAGTGACTTTATTACAGTAGAATTTTACCAATGTATGTAAAAAACAAGCCAAGCTCCGCCCTTCTCTTCCATGTGTTTATTTAAATTATGCTTTTGCAGTATTATGCCTGGATTGTGTTTGCCGACACTGGAACCTGTGGAGTTTAATTGTATGGTAAAATCAGATTTGACACAAGTGGATTCCACTAGGCTGGCCTCTACCAGAACACTTAACAATGGCAATTATTTAACTTTCTTTTACATCAAAATCGTTGCTGCTTTGTAGAAAGATTATGTGTGTAAAGTGTAGGAAATGTTGTCTTGTATATAAGTTCATCTGCATTTCATTACACATGCTATTAAATGAAGCTTTCACCATGTAGATAAAAAATGTCTGTATGTGGCAAGTCTTCTTGTGCTCATTGGATAAAAAAAGGAAATGATATTTCAAATAAAGCACAGCATGAACATCAGTGACTTGCTAAAAGTTTGCGGGCTTTGCAGAAAACCTTTTTTTTGCCTCTTTTTTTCTACAAAGAAAGCTCTGATACTATGCAAACACATTCCTCTGCATGCATCTTTAACCAGTGCTTTTCATTATCTGCTCTTTTCCATTGAACATCCCCAAACCTCAGGATGCTTCTGTTGAAATTTTATTTCAATTAAATATGATGTTCTGTACTGCGGCAAACATCTTGAGTATTTTATAACGAGTGCTCTCTCTCTATATATATGGTTTGTTCTGAATCTCCCCGAGATTTGTTTCCTTACTCTTAGCACTTTGTGTACGTTCTCCATAATTATCTCCAGTAAGTGTTGCAATAAATGAGGCTCTGAGAAAAAAAAATCTGTAATACATTTTGAAGCCCTATGTCACAATACCTTTCCAAAAGTAAAAAATAAAAAAAATGTGCAGGATAACAAATATAAATAAACATATTCATATGGCTTTTTTGAAACAAGATTTTCTTTTTGCCAATGCAAGAGTGGACTACTGAAGACAAAGAAAAAAAGAGAGCGCGAGGACCAAATAAGCAGATAACCATGGCTTTCAAATTGCTCATCA